GGTGGGCCCCCCTGGGGCCTGGGCCAGGTGCAAAGGTGGGGTGCCCTTTGCCCACAGGCTTAGCTGCGTGGAGCTGAGGGAGCAGTTAAGGGAACGGAGTCTCAGAGACATGTTAGATGTGTCCCGGGAGAGAGTCAGAAGGGGGTCAAGGAAGAACTCCAAGCTGAAGTCCAACCTAGAGCCAAAGAACAGGGGGTGGGAGGGACAGGAAAGGAAGTCTCGAGATGGCAATAAGCAACGGGTCTAGACCCTGAAATCATTCCAAATTCAAAGAAAATGTGGCCTTGGGGGTTCATTATCTGATTTCTATAATCCCAGGGGTAGATGCATTTTGATAATTCAGAGTCAGACAAAAGTGGTTTCATCTACTGCTCATCAGCTGACAGTTCCAACCTTCATGGCTTAAATCAGGTTCACAAACAACTCCGCACAGATCCAAGTTTGGGACCTGAACCACCGGATGCTCCTCAGCCAAAAAGGCAGATAGAGAGATAATGTATATATTGCAATACTGAAAGGGCCAGGTATGAAAAGCACAAGTCCAAGGATGCTCATCACAGGGCTGTTGATAACAGCGGAAAATGGAAACAACCTGAATATTCCACTTGCGGGAACTGATTAACTAAAATATGGTACATTCATATGACAGAATACCATACAACCCGCCCCACCTTCGCAAATGATTTGAAGTATATTTATTGACATGAAAAGAGATGTATGATAAACTATTAAGCAAAAATATACATCACGACAATATAAATAGCAGGGTCCCGTGTTCAATGAAAAAAAAATTTTGTGTAAGTATGCACAGAAAAGTCTAAAGGGAAATGCCAAATTAAAATTCGTTCTCTGTGGGCTGTGGGGTTGCTGATTACTGTAGTCTTTTTCTTTCTGTTCATCAGTAGTTCCTTTTTATATGATAAACATGGTTTTTTTTTACATAATTATTTATAAAAAACAGAAAAAGAAAAGTGCAGTTTGCAACCTCCTGCAGTTCTCTCTCCCCTCACCTCCCTCTCTACACATGATCTTCATTATCCTGTTATTGTCATTCTGCTTCCAAATTCCATTCCTCTGTCCCCCTCCCCCACCAATCCACCCTCAGACACACAGATGCTTTGAGGGGAATGGAGGTGTGGCTGGCAGGGTTCTGAGGAGCTCAGAGTCAGGAATTCTGGAATAAGAGCGTGAGCTGAGACACCAGCCGGCCCAGGGCGAAGAGAGGAGCGGGGGCGATGGGGCGTCGGGCTGGGACGCTCTCTGCAGCCACTGGAGTGTGGAGTGGGGGTGGGTTGGGCAAGATCAGAGGCCAGGCGTGGATCAGACAGTCTGACCTCACCACATCGCTGCTCTCTGTCTCCTTTCCCAGTGAACTTGATACAAGCCCTAAAGCTCGGATCAGAAATGTCTTTGTAGGACGCGGGTCTGTGGTTACCTGCACCGTGTGTGCGAGGTTGTCCATCGAGAGAGCTGGCTCTGGTTTCCCCTATCGCAGCTGAGTGTGACATTCTAACCTCACCTGAGGCTGTGCTTCTCAAACTCCTTATAACCCCGGGGCTGTGTGAAGCCACAGGATGGAAGAAGCTGCATTTCAAAGAAAAATAAAGTTTTACGTGAATTAATGTGTTTTTTTTTTTATTTGCACAGCAATTGAAAAAACAAATATATTTTATTTGAAGATCTAGAAGGACTCTAAGTTTTCGAATTCTAATGTTACACGGAGTAGAATGAGAAACCTGGATGAATTCAACATTTTAAGGCTTAGGAGACATTTCGTACTTCCCCTGGGAGAGATCTGCCTCGGGCTCTGCTCCAAATCCTGCCCACACTCACTGCTCTTTAAGAAGCACTGACTGAACAGATCGCCAAAGTGTCTTATCTCCGTGTCCCCGGGAGGGATCAATTACATCGAGGTCAGTTACAAAGCAAGGTGCATAAATTACCGAGTCTCCCCTGAGCAGGTTTGGGTGGAGGTGGGGGGCTTAAGTAATCTCCCACAACTTCCTACAGTCTCCATTCTATCAAAGTAGAAAACTGAGCCTCAATGAAGTTGAAATGACTCGCCTAAGGTCACCCACCTAGTAAAGTGACAGGAGCTGGATGTCCAGCTATAAATCCAGTATAGATGACAACCAAGCCAAGTGCACCTTTAAGGAACAAAGTGGGTCCTAGGCCAAGATGGGGCATCCTGAAGGAACATGTTGTTAAAAGCCATCGTGCTCAGGGATGGTAATCAAAGGAACTTTCACGTTCTGCTTTATGTATTTCTGTGATATTTGGATTACTATAACCAATATCTTTTCTTAACGGTGGTTGCCCAACAACATCAAAAGGTTGTTCTTTAGTCACTAACCCCAAATGCCTTCCCTTGGTCTGATGTCATCCTCACCAGCTACCTGCCTGATTATTTGGCTTCCTGTAGAGCTGGCTAGCAGAGAGAAGGGGCGCTAGCCAAGCTGATGTTGCTGCTGTCTGCCTGATTGTCCATTTCTCATTATAAATGACTGCAGCTCAACAAATTTTTTCTCCTCCCCTCCCAACCCTTCTAGGGGCCAGCAAACACAAAGGAGCATTATATGATGTAAGTCAAAGGAGAGAAAAGACACAGCACCTCTTTTCGCATAGTAACACACAGGCATTGGTTCACTCTAGGCCGTGTACAGGCTGATTGTCTTGTGGATGCTTGACCGTCTGTCAGACAGCAAGTAAAGTCTTCTTTTCTTCATCTGTTGCTGTGTTACTCAGAAGTCTTTCCCTTGCAAAGGACAGAAACCCAACTTGAACTGGCATAACAATAAAACCTGGGATGGATTTTATGGGTTTATATAACAAAAAAATCCAAAGATAGAGCTCTGGCTTCAGGCATGGCTGGATCCAGGCATTCAAACAATGTCATCAGGCTTTTTCTGACTCTTTTCTCATCTTTCTACTTTGTTGGCCTTACTCTCAGGCTGCTTCTCTGCACGCTGTGGTCCTGGCAGCTCCAGGGTTCCATCTTCTAGTTTGGAAACCCAGCAGTAAGAGAAACTTCTCAGTAGTTCCAACAGAAGTCCTAGAATTGAGTCTCATTGGCTTGGCTTAGATTGCATGTCTAGGTCTGAACCAGTTGCTGCAGCCGGTGGGTGGAATATACTGATTGGTCTGCCCTGAATCACATCATGTCCTCACTTCCACAGAGTTGGGAACCACCCAGAATGACAATGGGGAGCCCAAAGGGAAGACAGACCACTGCAGCAGGAAAACGGATGCTGTAATGGAGAGAAAACAGACGCCCAGTGGTAGACCTGAGGTCCCCTTCAGCTTGATCTGGGGGGAAACAGAATGGAAAGAAATAACAGATTGTCAAGCTGAGAGCTGAGGGGAAGAAATGTGATGGCGGTGGGGGGGGGAGGGCGGGGATTGGATTTCTGAGACAGAGGGCTCAGGGGGAGCGGGAAGTAAGAGTGCAGTGCCTGCCCCTGGCGGGGGGAGGGCGGGAGAGCTGAATCAGAAGAGCTGGACCCAACAGGGGACATGACAGCAAAGGATCACCCAGCACGTCCTTCTGGGTTCGGCATGGCCTAAGTGAGGCGTTTTTTGAGAAAGTGGATGGTGCCACCCCACCCTCTGACGTTCAGGGCATCAGGTAAGGGGACCCCACTTTCTCAACTGCCATGCTGCTTGTATCTGTCAGTCCCACATGAGTCCTGTTAGCCTGAGTCAGCTGCCAGGAAGCCAGTCACCTTCACACGAACTGACGAGACTGAGTTCCTGGACCCACGAGGCTGGGAGCCTGACCTGGGAGGCAGGTAGATTCCACGAGGTCCCGGCCCCATGGAATGCCCCTTGGCGGGCAGCCAGCAGGCCTGCCCTGAACACACCCTGCCTTTGCTTCCGGGCCTTGGCAATCCCTTCCCCACAGCACTGTGCCAGGCTTCTGGGCGATGTCAGATGAGGACCCCTGGCCCAGAGCTTTGCTCAGAGTAGACCCAAAGAAGCGGCAGCTGTTCTCACTACTATTGGGTGCGCAGTGTGCCTCACGCACAGCACGTGGCACCTGTTATGGGGTAGTAAAGTGTCAGCAGGGTGCCAATGAGATGCGCGTGAATCAGCACCTGTTCATACAGCTGCTGTGACTGCAGAGGAAGTGACCGCAGCAGCAGCCGTAAATACCTGCGGGCTGTTTTGGTTTTCCTGCGTTTGGCTGGGCTGTCTCTCCACTCTACTCAGAACACTTTTCCCATCACTTCTTTCTTTTTTTTTGGCTGGGAAAGATTCGCTCTGAGCTAACATCTGTTGCCCATCTTCCTCTCTTTTTTTTTCCCCTCCACAAAGCCCCAGTACGTGGTTGTATATCATAGTTGTAAGTCCTTCTAGTTCTTCTATGTGAGCTGCTGCCACAGCATGGCTACTGACAGACGAGTGGTGTGGCTCCACACCCAGGAACCAAACCCGGGCCTCCGAAGAGGAGCATGCCAAACTTTAACCCTTAGGCCATCAGGGCTGGCTCTCTTCTCTCTTCTCCACAAGGCCACCTGCTTGCTAATGCGCTCAAAGCACAGAATCTTTTTTCTGCTGATCCTGGCATCCAAAAGGTTTTGTCTGAGACCCGCCTATGGCAGTGTGTCTCAAAGTGGGATCCCCTGTCCCCGGTGTGTCAGAATCACGACGACATTTGTTAACTGTGCAGATTTTTACATCCCCCACCTAGACCTGTGGAAAGTCAGTCTCTGAGTTTGGGGCCTAGAGATATGCATTTTAAAAGGCTCCCGGGGTGGTGGTGGGGAGGGATGGTGGGGATTCTAATGCATCCAAAAGCTCACAAGCCGCAGTCCCGCGCGCACTCAGGCGGCACCTGGCCCCGACAGGAAAGTCCTGATTCACGCGCAGGCCCTGCCCCCGTTGGCCCTTCTATCAGGCAATTCAAAGTCTCCGGGCCCGCGAGTTACTGATTAACCCTAGGTTTTAAGACAAGAAATAATAACTGAAGGGACAACGTAAGCCCAGAAACAAGTTGAGCAGCCCTGGGAGAGCGGTGCCAGACGGCTGTTGTCACCAGGCACCTGATGAGAAGGAAAAGGAGGCTTGAGACGCCCAACCCAAGGTCAGACGACATCCAGGTCACAGCAGCACCGGCTGACGCTCCTCGTTGATGCCCAGACCCTGAGCTGCCACGTCCCACTGGCTCCAGTGCCCAGAATGGCCTGCGCTGAGGTCCCCCAGCAGCCAGCCCCACAGCAGTCCCAGCCTATCTCCGCAGAAGCCACCACCGCCGACACCGCGGACCCTGCTGGGGGTCATTGTGGCTCCTGGGACAGCGACCTGGAGTGCCTTGTGTGCCGGGAGCCCTACAGCTATGCCCGGCCACCCAAGCTACTGGGCTGCCAGCACTCCTTCTGTGTTGTCTGCCTGAAGCTCCTGCTGTGCGTGCAGGACGACACCTGGTCCATCACGTGCCCTCTCTGCCGCAAGGCCACCACTGTCCCCGGGGGCCTCATCTGCAGCCTGCGTGACCAGGAGGCCGTGGTGGGGCGGCTGGTCCGGCCGTGCCCGGAGGTGCAGCTCTGTCCTCAGGGGCTGGTGGATCCTGCCACCTTGGCAGCAGAGTACCCCAGCTTGGCGGGAGAGGATGGACAGGACATGGCAAATGCCAACCATGCGGCAGCCCGGCGCCTGGCGGTACAGCTGCTCCTACTGGTCTTGCTCATCATCCTCATCCTGCCCTTCATCTACCCCGGCATCATCAAGTGGATGCTCATCTTCATCATCGTCCTGGCCCTGCTGATGTTCACCCTCTTCTGCTGTCACCCCCGCAGCCAGGACAGCTCCTGGCCCTCCCCCAGGACTCTCTTCTGCAGAGGGCAGAAACATAGTGAGATCTCCTCCATTGCCTGAGTGCACTCTGACCACGCAGTACCCACAGCACCTTGGCCTCTGCGGCCCCTTTACTCTCACAGTGAACAGGGTAAGGGACTACGAACTAAGACTGGCTCCCTCGGGAGATGAAATGCCAGCTGGACTTGCAAGCCAAAGCCAGGATGGCTGGGTTGGGTTAAGAACTATGTGCTTGCACAATAGGCTTATGCCTGCCCAGGGTATAGCACAACTAAACTGTTTGGGGTGGGGGAGGCACAAATGACTTGAAGGCTACAAGAGGGGCCTCCTGTCCCTCTTATTCCATTGCTCCTGGCTTTCCTTTATACACCCTGATGAAAGTATTGCAATGTTGATGTTTTTGCAGAAAAAATAGAACCAGAGCTCCTTTTTTTACAATCTATGTAGCTGGTTTTATTCTTGCTTTGTGTTGGTTTGTTTTTTGTGTGTTTGGGGCAATTTGTTCATATTTCTGGCCGTTACACAGTTTTCCTCCTGGGAAGCCAGAGCCCGCGGGAAGTCCTCCCGTGCTCCCTGCAGTGCTGCCCATTGTGGTGCCCACCAAAAGTCCTGGTGGTTGGGTTGCTCCCAGGGATGGAGGGAGGGAAATTGTGCGGAGGGATGGTACTTACAATACGACCAGGGGACCCCCCCATTTAGTTGGCTGAGTTGGGGCTTGGAGGGGACCAGGTGGGTCTAGGAATTGCCTTCAGCAGCCCCCAGGATTTCCCAGCGCCGTGCCATCAGGCCCTGACTTACCAGAGAATCTCAGGGTTCCAAGGGCATTCCCCCTCCCCCGACAGGGAGTCCAGCTGCCCATCTGATGCACAGTCCCATACTCTCCAACCAAATCTTTATGGGTGCTGCTTTCTTTATTATTGCATCTTGATTCCCATTTGAGACTTTGTCATAAAGATAAGAGGCCCCATAAATGCGACAGTCCTCTCCAATAACCCCACTTTTCCTGCCTCGCCCTGAGAGTCACAGTCATCTGAAAGACTTTCGTGTCTTCTCTCGACCTTTTCTGCTCCATAACATAGAGGTGGCTTCTGCTGGCGGGAATGACCTTCTGTGGTTGCCGGGGTCAGGCCTCAGCCAGGGGGAGCCCCTGGGAGTGCAGGGGCACAGAGGGTGGGAGATGACACGTTATTTCCTTCCAAAAGCCCTGTAATTGGGAAGCAGACTTGAAACCTCAGAGGGGCTCACCGAGCACAATCCATTGTCCTTCCTTGCCCTCTCTTTCCTCCTGGGAGGATGTCAGTTGCAGGCTGGATGCTCATTCATGGTGATTGTAGCTTTGTCAGGAAAGGAGGAGAGAACTCCGCCGCCGGAGCACAGGGGATGGACCGTGGCCCAGTGTTTATGTGTTGTTGAGCAAGCCTTTTTGCCTCTCTGAGCTTCATTTTCCCCAAAATGAGCTAGTAGGACTGGATTATTCCTAAGACCCCTGAAGTCTAGGAGCTGAGGGCACTGCTGAGCCCCAGAACAACGGACTTGGGTCACATCCCCTGTGAGCTCACACAAAGAAATGTCAAAATATAGCTATGTATGCAATTAGCTGTTCTTGACATCTGAGTGCTTTCCTTGTTTTCTTATACGGTACTTCCAGGGCAACTCCAAGACAGCCATGCTACCGGCCTTATTAAGTGCTGGTGCTGAGAGAGAGTGTGTGTGAGTGTGTGTGGGCATGCACGTGCCCATGCTTTTAAGCCAGGGCCAAGTGAGCCTGAAGAACACCCTGTCTCCCCAGGAGGAGTAAATGACAAGAGTTGCTCGGCACTTCCTGGGCTGGCCTCAAGCTTGTGTAGTTTGGGATGGTTGCCAGTAGGATAGGCAAAGAACATTGTCTCCCCCCTCACCTCCACTCCCGTTCCATCTAGTTCTTGGACCCTCCACCAAGAAGAAAGCCTTCACCAAGGTTTCAGTTGTTAATGACAACACCATTTCTACCATAATAATGGCAGGTGCAGGTTTATTGAGTGCTTACTATGGGCCCAGCACTGCACTTACTGCTTTCTAAGCGTTATCTAGCTGAATCTTCATAACAACCTTATGAAGTAGAGATCATCTTGCCAATGAGGATACTGAGGATCAGAGAGGTAAATTCATCTGCCTAAGGTTGCACAGCCAGCCACTGTCAGAGCTCCCTGGGGAACCAATCCAGGACTCTCTCTGTTCCATCATGCTGTCTCCTTTGGGTACAGTTCCAAAACAACCAGGAAGCTGGTGGCCACTGGTGGGCTTGTGAAAGAGAACAGGAAACTAACCTCGGGAACCTCTGAATTCCAGTGGTCAGGTGCTCAGAGAGGCCAGAGAATTCCAGAACCTGTTGTCTGTGCTGAAGAGAAAGAAACGAGGATAAAAATGGGATGGCTTTCCTGTAGACTTTACCGCCCAGTCCCAGCCTCCCCTGAAGGAAGATGTGTTGCACACGGCCCCCAACCAGTGTGCCTTCTATCCCCCCAGCAAAGATGTCCTGACACTGCTGTCACTACTCATCTGGAAGCCCACCCGGTCCCAACCACCATCTGGCCCCTGGCATATGGGGACAGAGAGCGCCAAAGGCCAATATAGGCCCTGGCTGCCTAGGAGCTGGAGGAGAGCAGAGGAAACAGATGGTGCTGCAAAAGAATGTGAATGGAAGAAACCAGAGAGGCAGGCCGAGGTTCAGAGCTAAGCTCTGACCCAGTGCGTGACCAGGAGAAGTTATAGAATTTCTCTGAGCCTTAGTTTGCTCACCTGTAAAGTTGGGGAGGATGCCACACACCTCCCAGGGCCTCCATAAGCATTCAAAGTGCTACTGGACAAGAATCCCATGTCCTAACAGGCTGACTTTATCATCAATCCTTGACCCCCTTGGGTGAATGGGTTTCTTGGGGCCTGTTCAGTGTGATAGCAAGCAGGGGGCTGGCCTCAGTGATGGGGTGCAGAAGCCAGTCCAGAGTGGGAGTGTTATCCAGGACAGGCCAACCTGGTGGAGAACTTTGTGCTTGGGGCCTAAGGGAGGTCCTAAGGACGGAGAGGAATTGTCAGGGGAGGCCAAATTTCATCCCCATCAGACTCATCTCTCTATTCTGCGGCCTTGGGGTCAGACATACCTGGTTGGACTTCTAGCTTCACCATTTACGAGCCTCTTCACCTCTCTGAGTCTCAGGTTCCTTATCCATGAAACAGAGGTTATAAGACATATTTCAGAGGGCTGCTGGGGGAATCAGTGAAATAATCCATGGCTGAGCACTTAGGATGATAAGGAAGTAAAGAAGGGAAGGAGAAGACAAGGAGAGAGAGGTGAGTTGAGTTCTAGAAAGCCCTAACAGGAATGATGAGAAGAGACTCATCTTATTTTATTTAATCTTATCAATATGGAAGTTTATTAAAACCTGAGCACCAGAATTTACCTCCTGCATTGTCAGCCTCAGCATCAGCAGTGTCCTCAACAACAATATAATAAAACAATAATTGCTAACATGGTTTGAATTTACGGTGCAAAATGTATTACATATGTTATCACATATGCTATAATGTAGGTACTATTGTTACACCCAAATTACCAACAGATGTGCTAAGGCACAGAGAGGTTAAGTAGTTTGCTCTAGATCACACAGTGCAGTGGTGGAGCTAAGAGTAGACTGAAGAAGGCTAATTCCAGAGTTTGGACTTTGAGTCACTTTGCTGCGTCAGATGGAACATTCCGGCATATCGTAAGCACTCAAGGTTTGTGGGCCCCCTGGCCTGAAGGGTGAAGAATTAGGAAGAGATGGCATCCCCCCATTTGGTTACAGCTTCCTGACTTAGTGGGTGCCCGGGGCAGAGGCTTGTGGGAGGTCACCTGTCCTGTGACCCACAGCCATGTTGTCACCTCACCTTACAGCCCCTGTTCATGGTTGGACCCTCTTTTCAAATGACTGGAGGAAGTTTTCAGCCTTTGCTAGAACAATTAATTCTTTGTCTATAACAAGGGAAAACATTTCCAGGAATGAAGGACCTTCCTGCAATTTCTCAGGCTATGGGAACAGCATAGACCACGTTCAAAGAGAAATCAGATCTGAGCTCCTGAATCTGCCTGGAGCTATTTTTATGAACTTTATATTCTTGTCTGGGGATCTTGAAGTCACTTTTTTTAAAGGGGGAAGATCTCTTGGGTCAGTATAAAACTCTCTGAAGAATTCAGAAAACCATGGAAACTAAGATCCATTATTCAACAAATATTTATTGAAGGTCTGCTCTGCGCCAGGCACTGGGCAGGGTGTTTAATCTTATTTGATATAGAACTTTGATGAGGAAGGAAACAAATACATTAAAAGCACCTATTATGTGTTGAATTGTATCCCCCTTCCCAAAAGAAGATACGTTGAAGCTCTAACCCCCATTACCTCAGAGTGTGACCTTCTTTGGAAATAGGGTTTTTACAGAGATAATCAGGTTAAAATGAAGCCATTGGGGTGGGCACTAATCCAATATGACTGATGTCTTTATAAAAAGGGGAAATTTGGATATAGAGACAGACACACATAGAGGGAAGACAATGTGAAGACCCATGGAGAACGCCATGTGAAGATGAAGGTAGAGACTGGGGTGATGTCTCTACAAGCCAAGGAAAGCCAAAGATGGCCAGCAAACCACCAGAATCTAGGAGAGAGGCCTGGAAGAGATTTTCCCTCAGAGCTCTCAGCAGGAACCAACCTTGTCGACACCTTGATTTTGGACTTCTAGCCTCCAGAACCATGAGACAATGCATTTCCGGTCTTTAAGAAACAAGACGCTGTGGCATCTTGTTATGGCCGCCCTGGGAAACCAATACAGCACCTATCCTGGGCCTGTGATTGCACCGTGCCCCTTGGCAGGGCCGCTTCCAGATAAATAACTTCCCAGAGTCTTATAGCACATAAATGGCAATGTCAGGCTCAAAATCAAGTCTGATTGGCTCCCAAGATTAAGTCCTACTTCTTTTCCCATTTTGTAGCTGGGAAATTGAGGCTCAGAGAGGCCGTGTGATTTCCCCCCAAAAAGTGCACAATATGTCGGAGATGGAGTTGGAACCAGAACCCATAGTTCCTAAATTACCCTTAATCTTTGCAACAACCATATGAGAATTACTGAATTATTATTCCCATTTCACAGATTAAAGAGTTCAAACCCGGGACATTAAGACACTTGACCAAGGTCACAAGCGAGTGAGCGAGGTAGCAGACTTTGAACCAACTGTTTGACTCCAAAGCCAGGTCTGCACTCCCCACTGCCCCACACTGCTCCTCAGCATTCCGTCTGCATGGAGAAGCAGGCAACCTTGTCTTTCAGGACGCTTGAGGTACCCACCATAAGAGCCTGTTTGCTCAAAGAGGACAGGACTACAGTGGACATTTGTCTTCTCTTCTTTCCTTTGACTGTCTTGTCTTCAGCAGCCCC